TTCAAAAGGAGAAGTTCCTGCTAAAACAAACTGGCAAGGAGAATCTCCCGCTATATTACAAGAACAATCTAGGCTTCAAGACTCCCAAAAAGGTCACCAAAGAGACTTACACTGACAAAACACGCTCCTTCACTGGGAATGTCTCCACCTGAGGGAGGATCCTGTCTGGCTTGGCGACCAAGATAGAGACGCAGACCACCGCTGTCATTCACGGGACTATCTACATCTAAAAGTACAAGCACTTTGACAAAGGCCACAGGAACATGTCCCCCTGCTCCAGGAACGTCCAGGTGGGGGACAGTGGGCATGTGTCAGCTGTGGAACAAGACGGTGGGCTTCAACAGGCTTAAGGTCACCAAGAAGCAATTCCGAAAGTTCTGAGACTAGACATCTACCCACTCCCCAAAATGAAATAAAGTTATTTTCTCACTCAGAAAAATAAAACAAGATATCACTTGAATGATGGCAAGGAAGTTATGAAGCTGAACTCCAACTCAATCTAGGTCAGGCTTTCCCAGCCTGTTGAAAGACACTGAATCAAAGCAAAGGTCGCTGTCGTTCTTCAGGAACTTGGTACAATTCAAACCGATTGAGACCAGTAACCCTTCAACTGGGCCTGCGCAAGCTCCCGAGCGCACCCCCACCCCTCATGAGTCACGACGCCAGCGTCTGGACAGACGTCCTACGTAATACCGCGAACCCGACCACGCTTGCGCAGAGGAAGCTGCACCTTCTATCTTTCCCGGTGGCAGTCTCCTTTCCCCACCCCACTCTTACCCATAAATATCTCTAACCTTCAGGGAGGCAGATTTGAGAGCTCTTCTCCCACTTCCTCGCTCAGTATAACGATGCAAATAATTTTTTCTTTTGCAAAACTGTTCCGCAGTGATCAATTTACTGTGAGCGAGCACAGCGAACCTGGACCGACCTGGCCATAGCAGAAGGCAGCTTTATCTCTGCCCAGCTTAAATGATTGGAACGCCAATACATGCTCAGTGTAAATTCATGGCCAAAACGTTACAAAATAGCGTTATCTGAGAGAGGAGTTTCCTGACCACGAAGGAAGCTGTGAAAGGCGGCAGATGTCAGAAAGTTCGCAGACTCTGCCCGAGACCATCAGCGGGACCCTGAATGACTGACTGACCCCACCCTTTCCTGAGATAGCCCTGAGTTCTAGTCCTTTTCCGCTTATAGTCTGTGGATTATTCTCTGATGCTAAATTCACAGACATACATATGAGCACATTAACACATACGACAATTCTTTATTCTTCTCATCCTAGAATACTCTTTAATTTCTAAAAGGTTGTGTCAGGCTAGCTAGCACTTAAGGACAAGGCAGGAGGATCACTTGAAGCCAGGAGTTTGAGACTAGCCTGAGCAAAGTTGTGAAAGCTCACTTTCTACAAGAAAAATAGGAAAATTAGCGAAGCATGATGGCCTTTGGAGAGGCTGAGGCAAGAACATGGCTTGAGCGTAAGAGTTAGAGGCTGCAGTGAGCTTTACCACCACTGCACTCTAGCACCACCAAGTCAGTTACATTTCTATAAACAGACACGTTTTCCATGGGTTTATGTCAGCTCTTGTCAATCTTCGCTGCAGTATTTGAATCACCAGCACAATTTAAAAATACTGATGCCTTGTTCCCACCCTAAGAAATTGTTATTAAATTGGTTGGGGTGTGGCCTGGGCATAGGGATTCTGCAAAGCTCCCCAGGTGATTCTAATGTCCATTTGGGATGGATTATCACAGTAATGGGACCTGATGCACCATGCTTCCCAATATCCATGCCCTTGTAGAATCCCCTCCATACTGGGTGAGGGTATGGCCATGTGGCTTGTTTTGGCCAGTGAAATGTTAGCAAATATGACAGAAGCAGAGACTAGAAAACCATCTGCAGGTTGAGGGTGCCTTTTCTCTGGTTTTGGAACTGAGACATTAAGGATACCCTGTTGGAGACCTAGGGCTCAGTCAACAGCCAACACCAACCACCAGACATGTGAGTCAGGCTTTCTTACACTATCAAGCTCAAGCTGAGTCAAAAAATGACTACAGCCATGCTTGTGATCCCAGGCAAGACCCTTTAACTGTCCTGCTGAATGTACATGAAAATGCTAATCCACAGAACAAAGAAAGTGGTTTCCTTTTAAGGCACTAAGTTTTAGAGTAGTTTGTTATGTAACAAAAGCCAACTGATTAACCAACCAAGGTTGAGAAGCACAGGTTATGTGATAAGTTCAGAAAGCATTTATTATATATTTTTTTATAATCACAAGTGTAATGTTCATTGTTAAATTTTGGAAGCTACGGCTCGGCGTCTGTGGCTCAAGTGGCTAAGGCACCAGCCACATACACCTAAGGTGGCGGGTTCAAATCCAGCCCGAGCCTGCCAAAACAATGATAGCTGCAACTAAAAAGTAGCTGGGCGTTGTGGTGGGCGCCTGTGGTCCCAGTTACTTGGGAGGCTGAGGCAGGAGACTCGCTTGAGCCCAGGAGT